CCATCCTAACCCTCGCCCAGCACCGGCCGCGAGAAGCTAATCCGGGGAATGTCCAAATGCCGCCTGCGCGGCCCCAAAAAGCGCCGCGGGAACCCCGAATTTTGCCAGCCCCGAATTGCTCGGAGACCCCAAAGCCGGGAATGCGCAGTTTGCACAAAAACTGAGCCCCAGATCCCGGGATTCCCACCATCCCCACGCCCGGGAGTCCCGAATTCCGACAGCACCAAAATCCCTTGGGATCCCCACATTCTCGCAATTCCCGAGCCCAAGAGTCCCATTTCCCAACAGCCCCGAAATTACCGAATTACGGGAGCCTCAAATTCCGTGATTCCCGCGATCCCCGAGCTCACGAGATTCCTGGAGCCCAAAATTCTGAGCTCCCTGAACTCCGAGAGTCGGAGGAATCCCCATTCCCGGGAGTGCCCGGTTTTCCCGGTGCCGGGAGACACAAATCCCGGAATTCCCGCCGTTCCCAAGACCGGGAGTCCCAAGTTCCAGGAGACCCAAATTCCGAGAGCCCCGACATCCCCAACACCGGGATCCCGGCGACCTCCCAGCCCCGGGAATCCCGAGATTCCAACGATCCCAGGAGCCCCGGGATGCTCCAGTCCCGGGATCCTCAAATTCCCTGGAACGCAGGGAGGGAGCACCTGGATCCTTCAGCCCCGGGTCCTCCAGGACCTCCGATCCCGGGATGGAGCCCCATACCCCGCCCCAGACAATCCCGGCAGTCCCGACAATCCCGGGAGCGCCGGGACTCCCAAATCCCGGGAACTGCGTCCCGAGATCCCGGGACCCCCGGCCCCAGGAACGCCAGGATCCCTCATCCCCAGGATCGCCGAATCCCGGGAGATGAAGGATCCCTGTGATCCCCATCCCGGACTTTCCCGGGAACACCGGGAGCCGCAAAACCCCCAGCCCCGGCATTCCCGGGAGCACGGGGAGCCGCCAGCTCCGAGAATCCCGGAATCCCGGGAAAAGCAGGAACCGCATCCCCGACATCCTGGGGATCCCCGGGATCCTCGATCCCTCCATTCCTGAGCCCCGGGTGTCCCGGGACGTCCCCAAATCCCGGGATTCGCGGCACCTCCCGCGCCCGAAACTTGCCCCAAGCCTCGCGATTCCCGTGGCCCCCAGACCCCGGGATTCCCGGGATCTCCCGTGCCCCAAATCTCCCCTCCTGGGCACCCCCAAACCCCAACCCCTCCCCGAAACCCCAGGAATTCTCCCCAAATTATCCCCAAAGCCCCAAAATTCTCAATTTTCCTCCCAAAAATCCCCGAAATCCCAAAATCCCCAAAAAATCCCATCTTAAACTTGGCTGTTTTGTGTTCTTGGGGTTAATTGGGGTTAATTGGGGTTAATTGGGGTTAATTGGGGTTAATTAATTTGGGTTAATTAATTGGGGTTAATTGGGGTTAATTGGGGTTAATTGGGGTTAATTAATTGGGGTTAATTGGGGTTAATTTGGGTTAATTTGGGTTAATTGGGGTTAATTGGGGTTAATTAGGGCTGGGATCTCACCTGGACACGGCCAGACAGGTGGCCGGGCGTTCATTAGTGTTAATTAGTGTTGTTAATTAGCGTTAATTAGCGCTAATTTCACCTGAACACGGTCAGACAGGTGGCCGGGTGTCGATTGGGGTTAATTAGTGTTGTTAATTAGCGTTAATTAGCGTTAATTTCACCTGAACACGGCCAGACAGGTGGTGCGGTGTTCATTAGTGTTGTTAATTAGCGTTAATTAGCATTTATTTCACCTGAAAATGGCCAGACAGGTGGTGGGGTGTTGATTGGAGTTAATAATTAGTGTTAATTAATGTTAATTAGCATTAATTTCACCTGAAGACGGCCAGACAGGTGGCCGGGTGTTCATTAGTGTTAATAATCAGTGTTAATTAGCGTTAATTAGCGTTAATTTCACCTGAACACAGCCAGACAGGTGGTGGGGTGTTAATTAGTGTTGTTAATTACCGTTAATTAGCGTTAATTAGCGTTAATTTCACCTGAACACGGCCAGGCACGTGGCCGGGTGTCGATTGGGGTTGGTAATTAGTGTTAATTAGTGTTAATTAGCATTAATTAGCGTTAATTTCACCTGAACACAGCCAGACACGTGGCCGGGTGTTCATTAGTGTTAATAATTACCGTTAATTAGCGTTAATTAGCGTTAATTTCACCTGAACACAGCCAGACACGTGGCCGGGTGTCGATTGGGGTTAATTAGCGTTGTTAATTATCGTTAATTAGCGTTAATTTCACCTGAACACAGCCAGACAGGTGGCCGGGTGTTCATTAGTGTTGTTAATTAGCGTTAATTAGCGTTAATTAGCGTTAATCTCACCTGAAGACAGCCAGACAGGTGGCCGGGTGTCGATTTGGGTTAGTAATTAGCGTTAATTAGCGTTAATTAGCGTTAATTTCACCTGAACACGGCCAGACACGTGGCCGGGTGTCGATTTGGGTTAGTAATTACCATTAATTAGCGTTAATTAGCGTTAATTTCACCTGAAAACAGCCAGACAGGTGGCCGGGTGTTAATTAGTGTTGTTAATTAGCGTTAATTAGCGTTAATCTCACCTGAAAACAGCCAGACAGGTGGCCGGGTGTTAATTAGTGTTGTTAATTAGTGTTAATTAGCGTTAATTAGCGTTAATTTCACCTGAACACGGCCAGGCACGTGGCCGGGTGTCCGTACAGCCGATCCAGGGTGTTGGGGCTGAGCCCCCGCAGGAAATCCTGGAGGTTCCGGCACTGGAGCTGCCCCCGCGCCATCGCAGGCACCTGGGGACACCTGGGACACACCTGGGACACCAAAAACACACCTGAGACAGCAAAAACACACCTGAGACACACCTGGGGACACCTGGGGACAGCAAAAACACACCTGAGATACACCTGGGGACACCTGGGGACACCAAAAACACACCTGAGATACACCTGGGGACACCTGGGGACACCTGGGACACACCTGGGACACCTGGGAGAGCAACAACACACCTGAGACAGCAACAACACACCTGAGACACACCTGGGACACCAAAAACACACCTGAGATACACCTGTGATACACCTGAGATACACCTGGGGACACCTGGGGACAGCAACAACACACCTGGGACACCTGAGATACACCTGAGATACACCTGAGACAGCAAAAACACACCTGAGACACCTGGGAGAGCAAAAACACACCTGAGACACACCTGAGACACACCTGAGATACACCTGGGGACACCTGGGGACACCTGGGGACAGCAAAAACACACCTGGGGGTACAGGAGACACACCTGGGGACACCTGGCTGTCACCCACACCCCCCATGTCCCTCATTCAGTGGCACTGTCCCCAGTGTCACCCGTCACCTGTCACCCGTCACTCATCACCTGTCACCTGTCACCTGTCACCCATCACCCGTCACCTGTCACCCATCACCTGTCACCCATCACCTGTCACCCATCACCCGTCACCTGTCACCCATCACCTGTCACCCGTCACCTGTCACCCATCACCTGTCACCCATCACCCG